TAATTCACTATATTACTGAAATAAACTCATCAATACAGGAAAGTAAGCCAAAAATATATTTTGCACCCATTTAACTATTGTCAGTATAGCAAAATGGCCGAAAGCCAGTTGATGACTAGAGAGGGAGTAAAGAATGGGATCTTTAATATTCTACTAAAACTATCATTTTCTTTTAATAAGACTGTATTTGGAGGTTATGGAAAGGCTATATTACTTATTTCTATAAAATTTGTACAAAATTTTTTCGTTCAATAAAAGTCACTTAAATATATGCTATGTAAAGCTATGTAAACTTGGGGGGGGGAGGGTTTGAAAATAATTTTGTTGATAATTTTAATTAATTTTTGTCACATATTCCTGAATTTGGTTACACACATTTATAATTCACTTTATTACTAAAATAAATTAATCAAAAAAGGAAACTAATCCAAAACATATTTTGCACATATCTATATTTATATAGCCCATTGACGACCAGAGAAAGGGTAAAGAATGGGATCTTCAATATTTTACTAAAATTATCTTTTTCTTTAAACAAGACTGTTTGTGTAGGTTAAGGAAAGACTATATTAGTAATTTCTATTTAATTTATACAAGTTTTTTTTTGTTTAATAAAACCTACTTTAGTTTTAACTATTATTTTTATAGTTGAGGCCGGGGGGGGGGGGGGGGGGGGGGGGTTAGGTATTTATTTTACCAGGAAGATATAAGCAAAAGACACAGGGTAATTGTCTTGTCAAATGAAAAATAAAAAGATCTAGATTTGTTTAATACTGAAACTCTTACCTTTTAGACTTACCTTACTTGGCAAATTTGAAGTTCAGTGTCTTCCTTCCATTTTCCTAGTCTTTAGAGTAATTGCATTTACCATATCTCAGCCAAGAAGATCACAGAAAGCAGAGCACCTCATCAGATGAGTTTGTCCTTCGGGTCTTGAGAGAGAGGAAACAACATAGGTGATTAATACATATCTTTAACCTGATTCTGTTACTATACAATTATTATAATTATTATTATATTATTTTGCATTTTTTTATGTAAAAACAATTGGTTAGCAAGCATTACTGACAAAAATCAAAACCGTCTGCAAACCTTTAACAAAAAATCTAATAACAACAAGGAATCCCCATTTCTGTAACTTTAATATATAATAAAAGATGACATGTGTTGACATAGAAAAAGTGGCTGGAGATATAATACTAATTCATGACATAAGGCAGTAGTCTTTTTGAGTTTCTAGGTACCATGAAAAAGACTAGTTACACAGTGTACAGTGGAAGCTCATACTCACCCTATACTTACCCCTCCTCTTCACACAGCATCCTAGCAGCAGAAGAAAAGGTGTATCTTGATGCCACAATCATTCTTCACAGTGTCTCTGACTTCACCAAAGGACACAATGTACACTAGGCAGTTTCAAGTGCAACATGACACAAACTGAATTTGTAATCATCATATGAAGCACATAAGTAAAATATTTATGGCCAAATATTTATGTTCAACCCCCTCCCCCCCAATCACCACCACCAAACAAAGGTTTCTAAATATAAAACCTAAAACTATGCATGTGTAACAGGGTTGTAAAAAACAAGATAGTGACAAAGGAATGACATGAATATTACACTACACATACATATACAGCCATGCAAATTGTTACAAACTGCCAAACGTAATTTTTCATCAACTTATATCTTCAATTGATACTGCTCAAATTTACATTTTAAACTTCAAGTAATTATTTAAATGATCCCTTTGAAACTAAAGAACAAAGTTTAATTTTATTTGGCTGTTAGAAAACACGCCTAAGAAGTACCTGTTTTGGCATAAGACTTACTGTCCTAACTCCCTTTTGTCTAACACGTAGCGCTCTTCCTTGCGTCAGAAAGTGAAACTCTGCCATTAGCCTTGATTCCAATATATGTGCTAAGGCATTTCTGGCGAGCTTAGCTGTAGTTTCTTCAGTGTCCATATATCATCACTGGATCGCCCTTTGGACAGTGCGTGAAAATAAATATACTTACAGACGATCCATTTCGATTGAAGACGCTTGGCCTCCATTCGACTTTGTTGTACAATTTTCCTGCCTCCACAGACTAGAGATGCCGCGGCTTTAATTGACCTACTTCTTGATGCAAGTACACAGCCCCGTTTCATGCGAAAACTCCAGACAAAATGTACAAAACTGATGTTAAGATACATCTACGTCATCCTTTTTTATGGGTTAGAACGCAGAACTGCACAAGTTTCGTTTGCTATGTTCATTAAATGTATCTGAAACCAAACAAAAAAGGAAAAAATTAATAAAATCGTCTGTCGACCAAGTTTATATTCAGTCGCCGATTCACCTGAGATTTCATCATGTACCGGTATGTTACTTAGATCTCTACATAACCTGAGTTTTCTAGAGCGGTCAGAAACCATCATTATCTCCACTAATGCCCTGCATCGGTGATTGTAAATGTTTAAAATTTTTTTTTTCAAAATTATTGTCTTTTTGTCACTATTAAAAAATATTTAAGGCACACCCATTTTAACTTGCTTAATTCATATCTCAAAAAGGTAAAAGCAGTGGTTCTTATTCAAGGAAATGTTTTACACTGTATGTGTGTAATGCATGACATGCTTCATGCACACCAATCAAACCAAAAAGATGTGAAAAAAACAACAACATATGACCTATTTGAAGATATTGCATTGAAACAAAGTGATTTCTTGCATGCAAATTTTAAGGGATAATAACTATTTGTTTTGGCCAAAAAATGAATTGTCTCGGAATGGTTAATGAATTTCTACATTCAAAGTTAATCTGTTTTTTTTTTTTTTTTTTTTTTTCCTACAAAGTTTGGTTTTTATGTTATAATCTCTTAAGAGATGATTACAGAGTATAGCCATCTATGGAGGTCACGTGATCTGATGACAAGTTCAGATATCAGAATATATATAATAACTATAACAGCTGTTATTGTGTTAAAATGGAATATATTATGTTCCTATGAGTTGTTTACAATGTTTTTATTGTGAAATATACAGTAGATCTCATAGTTGATACAAAGGCTTATTAGCCCTTTAACCTGAGCATATAATGTGAAAGAATCATGATGGCATATTTTCCCAATAGAAATAATTTATTCATTAAAATAACTGTATATGTCTGATACATGACATGCTTAATGCAGACTAATCAAACCAAACAGATATGAAAAAGCAATATAACCTATTTGAAGGTATTTTATTAAAACAAAGTGATTTCTTTCATGCAAATTTAAGCTGAGCATATAATCTGAAAGAACGCCCATGTGCATAACGTAATAAAGCAAATGCATCTCTCAAAGGATCCTATAGGTAAAATTTGTAAAAATTGATTCAATTACTTCTTTCACTAAGATCGAATAACATTTAAGAGCAAAAAGACGCACTGGTATAAAGATTCTCACAAACATTTTATCAATCTATCCGGCGTTAACCACAGAAACACAGCTACAAAATACATACATGTATATAACTGCTTTGCCCAATTGCACTTAATTAAAAACAACAATATCAGACAATTTTAACTAGTGAAACAAGCAACTCTGAGCACAAATATCCCAGCACTTCAGTCCGGGTGACATAACAAACATTCAAATATTTATCTCAACATGGTATCCAGGTTTCCTGATAAAAATTTTCTACTTTTAAACATATTCCAAAGGATTTTTAGTCCAAGGGTCCGCTTAAATGCAGTGTTATTACTTGAATGTGCAGAGAGGCACTTTTAACTGTTATTTTGCAAAGTGTGCGTTAGTATATCAGAGCAAATTCTTGATAGCAGTATATGCAGCACATGTTCAATTCCCGATGTCGCTATGGACAAGCTGGAATTTTTATGGCATTGAAGCCAAACAGTTTGTCACTCAGCTAAAGATACAAGAAAACAAGATGCCATCTATATAGAGAAGTGGCAGAAAACAGGTATGAAGCTTTTTATTCAAGTATATAGAACTCTCTACCAGACTACAGATTGATTTTTCAATTGATATTCACAGATATGAATACAGAATCTGTAGCAAATTTAAATAATTAAATAAAATAAATAGACACAAAATACAGGGGCAGATCCAGAAAAAATTTCTGAGAGTCTTCCAAAATATCTTTGTAGATCCATTCTCTATTTTTCCGACAAAAAAATTAGATACCCATCAATGTAATCTGACCGTCTTCTGGAAGACCCAGAAGATGGCCTCAATCCACCCCTAAAATACATAGACACTAAGGCCCCCTTTACACTGGACGGCATCCTTTCTGCGTCCAGCAGTACCGCCCCATTTGAAAGTTAAAAAATTATAATACTTTACGTGCCGACAACTGGCCGATCATTGAGCATTCATTGTGATACAAAATCAATGCTCGTGCCTCCTTATTAAGACCACAGTGATGCCAAATTTCATGGTTGCAGAAAGAACGCAGAAAGGACGCCGTCCAGTGTAAAGGGGGTATAAGTTACACTTGGAAATTATGAGTAAACATATGTAAACTTCTTATTTTCAGCTACATACATCTTAAATTTAAGACAACACACATCACATATGTATAGTATTATGCAAGTATAAATATAAATGCCATGCTACATTTGGGTAAAAAAAATATCTTTAAAAGGTTTTAGTATAAATAGCCTTAAATAAAGTTGTGTTCAATAAAAAATAAAGGTGAAAAAACAGAAGGAACAGGAATGAGGAGATCTGCTCCATGTACAAGTATGTTGCGCTGTTCACATTCTGGTATACTTTATCTAATCATTATGACATACAATGTACATCCAATTGTCTGATCTCAGTAGAATATGTAGCAGTACGTAATTTCAAGTAAAAAAAATCATGCCCTTTTAACCTAAAGTAAAAATGTAGCTAATCAAGTGATATGCATTTTTCATGTGGTAAAAATATTGCAAATGTCAGGAAACCCTGATATACTCATAATACAACTGGCTCAATCTGAGTCAATTCACTGCTGCTTTGTGATTAAAGTATTGCACAAGTCCTTGACTTATTCTTCTTATTTTTCTTTATATCCTCACAAGTTTCCTCAGCATTTCCACTTGACTGAGATACTTCATCAGTGGAATTAATCTCTCCACTTTCATTATCCACCCCAGGTGTATTTGAATGTAGGTCAGTTTTATCATCGCCACATAACTCCTCCTCTTGGGCCTTCTCCTGTTCATTCTTTGCATGTGGAACCCCCTTGATGTACCGCATTTTGTCTTTCTGCCAGTCTCCTATGTCTTTTCCAGCAGATTTCAGCTCCTCTTCTTCAGCTAGCAGACGTTTGGCTTCCCCTATCAGTGTCCTAATGCTTTCATCTGTGAATGGGTGGTCAATGATAACTGTGCATGAGAAGTCCAGCTTTACTCTATGCACTGAAATAAAAAAGACAAACAATTTGTAAATGGCATTGATTAAAATTCGCCAACTGGATGAGGTAATAGACCTTCTAAAAGCTTCATTTTTGAAAGGATTCTGTGAGTGTCCTGTTAAAAGCACAGTCCTATTATATGTCTGCATCAATGCTTTTTTGTACATGTATGTATGGTTTATATCTTTGAAATAAAATTGCACACATATACAAACTCTTAAAATTCCAAACAGCAAAGAATTTCATACATTGAATAAATATATCTCATTTAATCATGTAAACAAATGTAGATGTGCAGACAAACTAATGAGCACAATACATATACTACGATATATCCTAGATTTATCTTTGTCATTGTTTGATGAAAAGATTGGATCCTCCCAGCACCTGCTTTCCAGGCCCTGTCATGATAACATATGATACTGAACACTTACATCTAGGAGGGATGACCACCAGGGGGTGAAACCCTCCAGGAGGATTAAACATCACCCGGGTCAGTGCTATGTCCCTGTTAATGGTCAAGTAGCAAATGACCAGCTCATCCTTGTTGTTGTCCTGTAGTTCCTTATCTGGAAACATTACCCCCCAGCCAACCTTGTCCCCTTTCTTTATGGCACTGGATGCTGGAATGGAAGCAGACAGTATGAATATTAGAACTATTACACCATGTGAGAAAAGAAATCTGTAATGGAAGGGATAATTTGGGTAATGCAAGAGTCCTTGTGGAGCTAGATCATTTTATGTAGAATGATGGTTTCACAGGGAATGGGCCCTAAATTTACTTTCAGAAAATCTCACTATCATGTATAGATCTTAAACTCGATCCCATTCATTGAAGGCAGATGAATAATAGTGTAGGTCAGTTCTGCTGTTTCACTTAGAACCCTTGTGTAAGTGTATAGACATGTATGTTAAAATACTAGAATGATAATTCGGCATATCTGTACGTCAGATATTTTAATGTTTTATATTGATCTGTGCCAGTATGTTAGTGTGTGTGTTGTGCAAGTGTGCTAGACAGGACAGGGTGTTAGATACTGTACGTGTGCTAGCAGTGATCATACCTGCCCCAGTTGCCCAGAACCTGATGAAGTCCTGTCTGAAGTTGGACTCCGGTGGTGGCAGAAGAGGACTGGCGGTGGTCAGAGCTATCATGGGTGGGGGCACCTCATCACTGAAGTCCTCTATTATTTGGACCTCAAAATGATTGTAAGCTGGAGAAGATAAAAGATTGTTTATTTTATTATATAAATTAAATTTACAATGTATCTTGTTGAAAAAACTTGATACTTGATAGTCTGGTAGCGAGCCAACACTGCGATATGATGTGTTATGATTATTTCACATTTGTCTCATGGTTTGTGTGTAAAATAGGCATTTATTGTCAATTATCTCTTTTGCTTTTTTATTCATTTTTTGTTCCAAAAATTTAAACTCATTTTTGAAAAGTTGTAATTAGTTGTGACATCACACTTGGTTCTGGAGAGGACTTATTACATTCCAATCATATTAAAAGCAGAAAAAAAACACCATTTTTTAACATTTAGATTCTGGTGAAAGATTTGTTTCAATGTTGCATATTATCTAAAGTGAAAATGAGATTCCCTGACAAATCCTTCCATAAATGTGGATCCAATATGTTAGCATATTACACACTTCAAGGTTACCAACAGAAAAATTCTCAAAATATCCATGATTTGCAGTAAACAAGCTACTGTAGTAAATATCTGAAAAATGTTAATAATAATAATAATAATAATAATAATATACAGAAATAGTAGAATTGTGACACTGTTATGCCAATATAAGGCCTGATTGTGTAACATACTTCTACTGAGTCCATATGGTGCTTGTAGGGACAGGATATCATTTGTGTCAGTAGTGACCTCTATAACATTTTCTTCTGAGTCAACAATTCGAGCACCTACGGGGATGATCCAGCTGTCTATCTTGGTCTATAAGAAAAAGCAATAAAGAATCTTGACATGGAATGTGTATAGCACACTCTGCTTTTGCAAATCTTCAACTTGATAAGCTGTATTCATTTCAAGTTGTGGAGGTCTAACAAGCAAGTAAATCTATCAAATGTTTTCATTTTTTAAAATAAAAAGAAAAATGCTAAAAGGCCTTATATACAAAATATGTTATAAACATAAAAATGTTTTAAGATTAAACTTTTCATTTTCTACACTAAAAATGCTGTACAAGTGCCTTACAGAGCTTTCAGTAACTGCAGGGTACAGTACAGTTATATTTTAGTGCAGAAAATAAAAAGTTAAATCTGTTAACATGATCAACAGACTACACACATGAATATCCATCAGAAAAAAATTATTTACTAAGTAATTCTCCATTATTCCTCCTTCCACCATAAAAAAATTAACATGATACGAAGCTTCAAAACTTAACAGACATGTATATTTAATGGTTCTGTATCTCTACAGCATTAAAAAGCATCCGAATTAGATGGCACAGTATGTTTAATGCAACAAAAACTTATGTACTGAACAGAATGAAAAGTGATCTTTTCCCAATAAAACAACTCCCAGAGTCGTCTTAATTGTTCCTCAACCTTACCACAGGAAATAGCCCTACACTGGTCTGGTTCTGCCAGAAGATATTAAGATCCACTTCATGCTTGTTCCCAAACACTGCCACAGTTGGATACAATTGATTTAGGTCTTTGCTGAACAGGTATCTTGTCCCTACTGGTCTGTAATTCTTGATGAACAGAACCACACATGCCTTTTCACTAAAGGAGGTTATCTGGATGCCAACTGTATCCCCTACAATGCATCAGGTTAATATGCAGGGTGTGAGAAAATGCCATGTAATTTGGATGAAAATAAACATTTTGCAACCCAATTTACGATGTGTCTTAAACAAGATTCATGACCCCCGATACATATTTGTGTTTCACTTTGACATACAGAATACAGTGTGTATATGAACTCCCACCAAATTCCCCATTCTGTTTAATACTGCTTTCATGCACAATTCTTCTGTGCATAAAGTATATGTTTGTCCTTTGACAAAATAACAACTGGTGATAAAAATTTCGAATATTTAAAGCATACCTGTTTGAAATCTCTCTCCTATGGAATTTCCATGGGCAGATCCCTCTGAGAGGAGACAGCCATATTTGGATTGCCAACCAACAGATCCTGGTAGCTTTCCAGGCATCTTATTTAATGGGAAGTCAGCTCCTGCTACTCCCAGACATACCACTGAGTCTGCATCTACAAGGTCAATTGATGAGTCAATGCTTATTATGTACATATTTATAATCCATCACACAGAATATTTACATGCAACTAAATTTAATCCTAAATATACTGTATATTACAAGTAATCATGCAGTTGTTAAGCTGACATAATGACAACAGTATCATAACCCTCAGGTTTATAAAGGCTGTGTTAATATTGTAAAAGATAACATTTAAAATCAAATCTAACCATTCTTATTAATAAAGCACATATGTGGAGAAAAAAATGTGGAGTAAACATACCAAGTTTATTAACAGTAATGGAATAATAATTGTACTGTCTATTGAGAGATTGTTGGAGCTGAATGACGCCCATGCCCTTGGGTTCCTTCGGGTATTTCAGAAGGGTGACATAGTCTGTAACAGTGACTTGCAGATCTTCCGATATTCTTAACCATTTCATTGGAATGCCTAAAATATAAATACAAAAATCACCACCTGTTTAGGTGAAAACATTTTTGTTCACTGCTTCAAATCTTTTCAGCTTCAATGAAGTGTGCAGAGACTTATGATTTTCATAACAAGACTTGTTATTGATGTAAATCAAACATGAAAGAGTGCGACAAAACAACCAATAACTAAAAGAAAAGTAATAAGAAAACAACAATCAGAAATATGGTTCTAAATAAGATGACAAACCAACCAGTAAGTTTAATTGTAAGAAACAGTCATCAACCAAAACAATGATATCATTGCAATATGTTAACTTTTTGTATCTTCTTTCTATATGCTATTATAATGTTTGTGCAATAAAAACTCTCACTTGTCAGATCAAATGATTTTTTTAGTTCTTCCATAGCTCCCTGCAACCTTTCTGCATACAACTGGTCCAGATTCTCGACTCCCTTTGGACGGGGGTTGAATGTCATGTCTATCTTGACTTTGGACGCTGTTAAAAAAAACACAAAGTTTTTAAAAATTAACAAAGAAAACAGAAAATATGATATTATGTTTTTTTCAAAGCAACATACTTTCATTCAATGCAAATAGTAATACAATAATCAAAAATTAATCAAACCTCTGAATTTATCAAAATTGTATCAATCTTCACATAAATAATTACTTATTAATAGATCACATAAATGTACTTTTTAACAAGTGCACAAGTGTCACCAAAGTATGTATTCATGTACCATATGGCTTGAGTGTGACTAGCGGGAAGAAACCTCCAGGAGGCTGCAGCATGATTTTACAGTATATGACAGTGGTGTCCAGAGTGACATAACACAACACAGGTTGCAGGGCAGTTTCATCAAAGGTTACGTTTTTCTCTTGGCTCTCGGGGCCATAGTGAACTCCCCATCCTATACGCTGACCTACTTCCAGCTTCAGATCTGAAAGTAATCCAAAAGAAAAAAGATGTAGAGCCAGTTGATCCACAGGCAGTATAACTACTGTACTATGTACCTTCAATGTGAATTTACCAAGTAAGGAGGTAAAATAAATAACCTCGTAAAGTTGGTTTATGAAAGTTTATGATACCTAGACTAGCAAAGTAAAAACTTAATGTTGCATTTAAGATTAAATAAGTAACTATATAAGTTTCCATTAGATACAAGTAACATGTACGTATGTGAAGGAAGTTTGTGCACGCCACGCATGAAATTAAAGATTTGTTCCAAATCAAATAGTAGAAAACTGTAAATAATGTTCACATCTTGTGAATGTTCAATCAATTTAATTATATTTATTTACCAACATGCAAATATTGTTTTGTACCAAGGCCTCTGTAAGATAGAAAGCCAATGGGGTAATATTCAGAGACGACTAACATTAAAAAAAAACTGCCTGAAAGATAAACATAAAAAGATTAATATAATTTATTCTATCCTTCACCTGTAGTTTCATTTGACCATTTGAGGTAGTCCACCATAAGTCCACAGGTTGGATACAGCATTAAACTGCTGCAGGTGACCAGAGCTATGGTGGGTCCATGGCCCTTCTCATTTACTTCCCTCACCACCACATCAAAGTGCTGAATGTCTAAAATAATGAAACAACTTGTTACAGTGCACAGAAATATCTTAATGAAATCATGATTAGTCTTATTAATAATGACTGACTGACTGGCTGAGACTGACCAAATCTAAATATTAAATTGCTTAATATTTATAACATACATGCAAGAAGATTACAATACCATGCAGATGTTTATATGATCTATGGTGATTCATGCGATCTTTATTTGATCAAAACTGTCCAATCCTTCTAATTAAGGCTCCTTATTCATAAAATGACTCATAGTTTTCATATGTTAATTTGAATCTAGCAGAAATGTTTAATGCGTAGTTAAGAGAGATTTTTAAATAAATGAGTCACTTAATTTGGATACTACAGCCTCTATGAGCACAATCCTGCACTATTTTAAGTTGAAATGCTAAGTTCCATACTCATACGTAAATATGTGTACTGCCAAAATATGACTTTACTTATGTTGGATAATAGGCATGCCTCAGATGAGTATTCTTACTTCCCTATAAAATATGACTATTTCAAATTATTTTCACAGGACACTGAATAATCATTTTAAATTCAGAACACATATAGGAATAATTCTGTTGACAATTTGTTTTAGTGTGAAAGTGGTAAGATGTTTATCATTTGGCAAGTGTAACATTTAAATCATTCTCATGGCACCCTCATTTTTTGATACCACATTATCTCTAGATTTATCTATATTGTTCGAATAAGTGTTGAAGTAAAACTTTGCTGAACAAACTCAAAATGTGCTACTTTTCAGTATTGTTAATTACCAGACATACCAATTTTGGCATGACACATACCATTACCTACTAGTACGTGTACATGTACAAGCTTTTTACATTCATAATTGTCAAAGAATTTTTAGGATTTAAACTGCATATTGTGGCATCTAACTGCAAGTTTCTTATGCTGTACATAAGAATAAATTAACCAGCAGCTCACCTTTTGATAATGCCACAGAACTCTGCATGGAGCAAAATGCATATTTCTCTGTATCTTCATAGTAAAATGTCTCTTTCATTGCATCATATTGAATGTTGGAAGCTTTGATCCAGTGATTCATGTTGCCCTAAAGGAATAACAGTCAAAATGGTTTGCTATTAACAAAAACAAAGAATAGTGTTCATGCTAACAAATTAATGATAATACAGACCAATCAAAATATTTTTTTCACAAAAAAATAGAGAGAGAGAGAGAATAATTGTAGGCTATGAGCCAGACCCCTGATTTTCAGCCATCGATACCAAAAAAGGGAGGAATTCTCATAGTAATTGGTGTTTAGCTCTATGAGCCCACCTTTACTTTAAGAGTATATACATATTATTAATTTATAAAGTAGAACATGTATATATATATTATTGTATAAAGCTATATGTATTGTTCTCACCATACTAAGTGCTGGGGGTTTGAGGACAGCTGGGGGCCACAACATGCCTATGTCTATGGCCCCATTCTCCAGGGCTATAGTAGGGAAAAACTCACTGTGCTTTGCCTGGTAATGATACCTGGAAATATGGACCATCCATGCATTGTAAATATTGCCAATAAATAGTCAAAATATGAAATATGATTTGTTGTGCTTCAAATTATGTGTAAATTAAGGACTGGGGAACAATGGACACATTGCGTCCAAGTAAATAACTTTGCTTAAATCATATCACTATTTTTCAAATCAATTTTCAACAAATCAAATGATATTATGGCACTGAGGGCCTTTTATCGACTATCTCTTACGACTGGATTACAACTCACACCCTACCTTGTTCCTATTGGCAACCCATTCTTTATGAATACTACAGTAGATGACTGTTTGTCAAAATGGGTGACAAGAACTCCAAAAACATCACCTGAAATGAGTATTTTAATGCATAGCCTAGTAGTGTTTAAGCCTACAAATGTAATTCAGGAACAATTCTATCTAATGGGCAACTAAAACACGCTTTATTGACATGTTGAGTCCAAATGGCATTTATCTTAGATATTAATACCAGTAAAACAAGGGAATAATAAACATACATAAGTATCCTCAGTTTTCACATACAAGTCCATGTATATAGATGTATATACCAATATTTAAATTTCTGCTATTACATTATGGTACCTATGGGGTAACATAATAATACATAATAGCAATTAAGTCAATACTCTTCTGTGTCATGTAAATGTACTGACTGCATGTACATATAATAGTCAATTTCACAAAATTAAAAATTTTAATGAGTTTATGTAAAAATAAATAAAAAGAAATAAAAATTTAAATAAAAATCAAAATATTTCTCCATCGTCAATACACAACATAATTGTCAATAACATCAAGATGAATTACCCATGCCAAACTTCTCTCCATCTGTATTGCCACTGTAGTTATGTGATGTGTAACACTTGCCAGTATGGCTCTGGTAGCCCACTGTGTTATTCCAGTGACCTGGGTGGACATCTAGGGGGATGTCAGAGCCAGCTATACCTATTGTTACTACACTAGTTGGACCTGGATGTTGAAATTACAGGAAAAAGGCATGAATGATAGAGGGGTTTCAAGAAAGTGAGTGGTTTGCTATTACTTGTGGAAAAGAGGCATTTAACTGTAACGACAGCACTGAGAATTACATCAAAATGATAGTTTGCATTTGTAAAACCACTATCAAGAACCACAGTTAGAAAAAACATGAACAGTGATCATTTTTAATTTATTAATTTTATTAAAATAAAATTGTGTTAAAACTTCTTACCCAGTGACCTAATCTGTGCCAGAAAATATGGTTTTTCTGGTGTGAGTGGACGTAGAAACTGTAGAAAACTGACCCTTCTGGAGTATGGTTTCAATCGCACATCCATCACTGTTCCTGGGAATGGCTCCCAGGTGAGGTCAAACTCCAGGTCTCCTCCAAAACGGAACATACTCTGGGTTACTGTGGACATCTTATTTCACAACACATTGCCAGTGATGGTGAAAATACTGCACCCATCTGGTGCCATCTTTCATCTCTCCTAAGCAGAATAACAAGTATGAGAGTATTAATATAGCAATATATACAAATATGTACTTTTTGCTATTGTTGCCCATTGATGTCAGTCATTTTAATAAAGATACTGAATGTAAAATTTCATTTCTTACAATGGTAACAGTAGATTTTGGAGATTTATAACTATTTTCTTCTTTGATTTTTCAGAAAGGTATTAATTACAAAGTTTGTGTTGAAGTACTTTCAACTGACACATCCTATAAACATAATGATGAAAATTCTTAAAGGGCAGAAACCACTTAATAGACCAATCACCAACTGTTATAGACGAATGTTGTTCAGTAAGAGAAAATTAGTGTTTTTTACTTTTTTTTCTTGGCATTTCTTGTGTGTTGCTAGGGTTAAAGTTAGTATCAACTAGCAGGCTAGGGTGTAAACTACTGCCAGTTTTTTTTTTTCAGGACCAGGCACAGGCGCTGTGCAGTCATGAGACCTCTGGCGGAGGGGGCTACTGACTGTGAGTGGTGCAGTGGTTTGTTTAAACAGAGGGGTGCACATGTTCAAGTAATACCGGTAAGAAATTTTGTCTGATGACAGTATATTTTTGTCTTGCATCATTTCCTTTTAAATGGCTAATGAGCAGTTTTTCCTCGAATTGAGAGAAAAATTAAACAGCAAATTGCATAACACACAGGAGGGATACTGTTGGCTATGGACTGGGGGCACCAGTTGTTCCAGTGGGGTCTGTTATGGGATGATGAGGGTTACATTCCCTGGGGCAAGACACTCTGTTACTGTTGGAGTGCACAGGGTGGCATTTATGCTAAAGGAAAGAATTCTGAACATACCAAGAGGGACAGAAGTATCCCACCTGTGTGCAGTCACTCTGTGCTGTAACCCCGATCATCTCACAGCAGAGCCTCATGGAATCAACAATAACAGACTACACTGTCGTAATGTGGGCAGGTGCCTCGGACACAAGCAGAGGCCAAATTGTGTACATGATAATTATTTTTTTTTTAACTTACATTTACTAAATTTCTAGTTTCTCAATAATATTTCTTAGTTTTAAATAGAAGAAAGACCAACAAACTTTTGTATTTTTGTATTTTACTACATATTTATTAAAGAGTAGTATCTCAAAATCATACATTTTCTTTTAATTCTTTGAATAATTGTGATCATGAAATATAAGTTTTGGCATAGATATGGATTTTCTATAGTCATTACTTTTCAATGCTTTACATCTGTCATATCTTCTGTAGCAGTTAAGGATTCTACTTCTAGCTCTAAACTTAAATGCAATTGTCTTTTTGTGATTTACTCTCATTTTTATCTGTTTTTCATCTTTCTCCAGATATTTAATGATTGAAGAAGTTGGCACGATACCAGCACGATACCTATTAAGCCGACTGCACTGTGAATCCTTCCTGCAAAGTTCCAAGAAAAGGTGACGACTTAATTATTAGTTATCTAACTTTTTGTGTGTTGATATTTAGTTTTGTTGATTAAATTGCCCTTGAGCCCAGTGTGTAATTTAGGCACTTGTCTTAAGATGTGCATGTCTTCAGAGTTGCTAAAGTCTAGGACTGGGTTCCCATACTTACATGTAGATCGATCCATCTGGATCGACCTAACTCCCTGGGGGTTCATCCTAAATTGCTAGCAGCTCGAGAGGCTTAATTGTCTGTCACGCCTACCAAATCAGCTAGTGCAGGGTTCTCTCCCAGGCGATACGCATTTCTTTTTGCCGATACGCTTCTTTTTTTTTTTTTTTTTTCTTTTTTTTGCCGACACGATTCTTTGAACTCCGATACCCTGGTAGTGTGTGTGTGCCCATTGCCTTTATTCCTGACAGACGCGACGCAAACGACTTGTGTGCGTACTTGAATCTCTTGTGTGCACGTTACGTTGTTTATTTTTATTCTGCCTGGCGCAGTAGTATTAGCATCTCATAGTCTATCCTTCATGTTATTTTGACTGAAGAATAGTAGCAGTCGTGATCACTTATAAATAAATGAATCCATGCGGCAAGAGAAAATATCAGTAAAGATGCGACGCAGGGCTCGAAATTAGCGCCTGTCCGGGGCAGGTAAAAATTCAGTTCGGGCAAGTGAAGTTGCAGGATTGGCTGTACGACGAACAGGTTATGATTATAATGAGAAATTCAGAGCAAAAATCTTTTTTTAAAAAATCATTTTGATGCATTCTAACGTCTTTTTCTCTCTTCCAAGACGGTACTGAAAAGAGTAACCTACTTTTGGCACAAAACACATGCAGTCGCAAGACGAAGTCTGAGCAAACTTACCGCCAAATTATGAAAGTGAACACCCTCCAGGACTTCACAAGACAAAATTTATTCACATAACAGGCTCACTACTGAATATTTATTTGGTTAAAAATCTACGTGCTCTAGAGATAAAGACCGTTCCAAAAACAGAAACTACGCAAGTACTGTGCTGGATACAACAGCTAGATTGAACTGGATGAACTAGATATATCTAGTTCGTTGTCAAGGCAACATACTGCCTGTCAATCAAATACGTTGTATGCTATCTACTCACTGTAGAACGTGAAATCTTTGGGGCTGAAGATCTTGTTGAAATATTGTTTACTTGCCAAACTATAACCTGAAATTTTGTATGATGTTTTCTTTAATGACTTTAGCATCATCTATATTATTTACAGTTAAAAATTTAGTGCTGAAATATGATAAATAAACATTGATGTCATATACCAGTGTGACATTGATGTAAGGAAGAAATTAGTAATAACAAATATGAGAATTTAAATAAAAAGGGGACCTTTTTTATACTGATTTTATTTAACTCATATATTGAAATTTAAAAAAAATCAAACACATGATAACCCCTAAAAAGTTGAATTGTTAACATAAATATAAAAAAGTATTATTAAATGTGACAAAAAAATGACATTGTATGCACCTTTAAAGCAAGCATCAAATTCAGAATAGCAGCGCATTGCTATGCACTGAGTAAAGCATTTTTGCATTTTGTCTTTAGTGTGTGTTTTTTTTTTTTTTTCCTGGAAACACTTGACTAGAAAATGGTGCTTTTTCTATTTGTTTTTTCAGAGCTTTGGTGAAGTGTCGTGTGTCCCGAAGACTCAACATTGTCACACACAGAGTGGGTTTGGCTGTCACCATCAGTGGTTAAGGCACCAACTGTGACCTCTCCAGAAATTTCCTCAAGGCACATTGCTCGTCACCAATGCTGTCATCTTCTCGTAGATTGGCTGTGCAGACTCCACTGTGCTCTGGACAAGAGACATCTTCCCCTCTACTTCTGAGCAGGTGAGCAGTACGGCAGAGCTTGTTACCACCAATAATAACGTCCTTCTGGCTGGTCACATTCTCTGCTACAGTGTACACAGTCTGAGTGGCTGGCTGCTATGGTGTTTTGTTCCCTCCGCTGAACAGGCTATTATACTGTATCTCCCATCTCCTTCTACTGCTATGGGCTGTACTCCATACCCTCTGAGATCCTGAACGTGATGTAGGTTTTCCCGGCGCTGTTGCATGTCAGCTTTGTTTAGCTCTGTTATCGCTGCACTGACTTTGTTAGCTTGCTTCTGCATGGCTGATAGGCTGGGCAGGGTCACATTGCTTGCCATTAGGATCTGCCTCATTGCTGTGCTAGAGATCATATTCTGTGACAGCTTGCAACTTGCAAGCCTGCATTCACCATTGCTGCTTTCTGGACATGCTGCTTACTTTGGACTTCATTGTACAGTTTCTGCTTCCCTGTCCTGTACTGACATGTGTCACATTTTAGTCCCATTGACCAAGCCACTCCCCTTTTGCTCTCTGCCTCTCTGTCCGAAACCACTGAGCCAGTGCACTCGGCTGTATGCTCTGACAAGACTTTGTTGACCAGATTGACAATTTATTCTGCTGAAACCAACTTGCATTCATCATCTGGAGGTTGGGACTGGCTACTGGACAAATTCTCTGGCTGGGCCCTCCAGGGTCTTAGTATGACCGGTGCATCAGGGTTGCTGCTGAGGGTTGTTGTTGGCCCAACAGGGGGTGGAGAGGAGGCTGCCTGGTACAATGGGAAATTACTTGGTGGTTTCTGTTCTTAATTGTGATACATGTATCAATTGTCCAAATTTATGGCTGCGGAGTACCAATTTACTCTTTATTGATTCAGTGTTGTCCTGGTACTGAATGACTGACCTCTAGCAAAAGAAATGTTACAGGCATCTCATGTTTACTTGTGGCTGGACTCGTCTTTTTCAAGTGTATTGCGCTTTATTGCACAATTTAGGCAGACCCTATTTCTACTGTACATGTACCTTACAGGTTACAGTATACACTACAGCTAGGCCCCTAGCCAGCAATTTCAAATGGGGGGTTTGTTTTCTGAAAAAGTTGACCTTTTACCATAAACCTTCATGTACCTAGATCAAATGTTATCCAGAGTGGACCTTTTCCCAGCAAAAAGTGCGGTTCTTTTGAACCCCCAACTCCCCACCCCCCCCCACCCCCTGCTACGGGCCTGCACTACCAGTAGGCTACATCATACTGTATACTGTTATTACAGACAACAGTATTTTCCAATATTCAAATTCAGTATTGATTTACAAATTTTGTCACTACATATAATTATGATGCTAAACTGCAGTTGTCTTCTGATTTAATATATACCCAGCTTTTTTCCAGGCTGAAATATATTACTGGAGGAAGGCGGAATTCCAGGTGAGACAAGAATGGTTATCCGCAAGGAACCGTAGTTCGTTCCCGCCCTTTACTGTACTCAGTACTTTGTACAGGCGACATATACTAACCCCAGTACTCCACTAGTCCTTACCTGTAGAAATCATAGGGGACTCCGGTCTTCCATTCCTAGGACTACCATTCCTGTCACACAGGCTCTAGAAGGTGAAAGTTGAAAACTACAGCCTAGAATCCTTAGTAGGGGAAATTGTGGGGGAAATAGTCATTTTCTCCAACTGAAATCCTCGACTCAAGTAGCAATTTTCAGAATATCAGATTGCTGTGCATCGCAAATGGCAACTGATATAACAGAGTGCCTTTGTTTAAAATTATATATCAACGGAGCATTTGACCATGCAAATGAAAATAATCACTATTTAACGAATGCTCACATCTTCTCGTCTTTCCTGTTGGCTGTTTGTCTTCATAGGTCCAACATATCTATTAATATATTCATGCATATATCATATATTCATAATTCAATATACTATCTGGTATGTTTAAGATGCTAAAATAGTAAATGTGCTTTGAAACATAAATGCTAATGTACTAAAACAATCCTGTAAGTTATCTTTATCTAGTTAATAGCCCTAAACATATATTACTACGGACCTGTCAAAGTTGCCACAACATGTACCCCAAAGCTATCTACCTTCTTGATAAAAGTTTTGATCTTATATGAGAACTCCAAACACTCAGTTTATATTTCATAATTAATAAAATAATTATTTTAATAGGCATCAAAATGTAAAATCTATTCAAATTAAGTATATTACAAGTATTCGTGCATTTAAAATGCTTCGAAACTGAAACAAATGATACGAAATAACTTAGTAACCGCCGGGATTTCCAGCAAGTCGCACTGGGAAATTTAGTACCCACTTTCTCTTTCGTCTGGCTTAAAAGAAGCAATTTCAGAAGAAAAAATGTTGTTTGGAAAATTATGAGGTAATTTTAGTGGCTTAGTCAGAAACATTAGTATTCCCGATGCCAATCAGTAGTAGTTATCAGTTGGTTTCGCTTTCACCATATATATTTGGTAACTTCGGGCGTTCGGCTCAGAGCACAATAGAGAAGTGACGACGTCTGCATTTTCACTTTAGGTTGTTCCTGTGAAATACCGAAAGATCACCTATAACGTTCTGTAAGTTTTATATGGTATTGTTACAGAATAGAAATTATTCAACGTTTAAAATTCAATTGTTTAAGTGGTCGTTTGTACCAGTTTTTGTTGACTTCAACTACAAGAGGATTGAAACTGTGTCGCGTGCTTTAAAATGGCGGAGTAGTCACGGAACTGCTTATTTAGATTGGCAGGCCCCAGTTTCACATAAAAGCTTAAGTCAGTTCCCTGGCTTATATGACAATGCTTTCCATGAGAGTGCTGTAACACTGTTGCTAATAGGGTAAGATGTGAACATGTACAGTAACTTTGGTAATTAAGTTCTTAGGTAAGGAACCTAACTTTGTACACTACATGGGTTTGAAAATTCCCCAAACACTAATTTTTGCCATCTGCAGTTTCTTTTAAAACCTTACATACACCTTATAGTGATTTAACCCCTTAAATAATATTTTTCTGGAGCATACTTGATGTTGATATTTACATGCATGGGAGCATGTAGGAAGACAGCCGCTGGTTACGTAATACATTGTGTGACTGGCTAGTCATTTTAAACCAAATTAACCATTATGAATTTAATTAAGGGTTGAATCCAAGTGCAGAGAGGGATTATAGGATTATAGATAAATGATTCATAAGTACAAAAAATTGCTTATTTTCCTGGGAAAGTCCTTTTTGGCAGGAAAATCCCATGGGGTTGCCTTTTTTTATTGTGATACAAGGGTCAGGGCTTGATACAAGAGTAGCATACAGCAAGATACACAATGTTCACTCTACCAGGCACATCAGAATATTTTTTTCACAAGTTTTTTTACCAATATTACTTGATCACCAGCCATGCATGTCTGTGGCATGCAAAAACTGGTATTGTTACATGTATTTTCTTTGGTTCAGAAAAATACAAAGCAGCAAGTTTTTTTATTTTGTTCAGTGAAATTTTTATTTCAAAACATATTAAAATGATATTAATGAATTTAAAGGTAACCATAATTGGTTAGGAAATTATACAGGGGTGGCTTAAGAATAAAATGTTAGGATACAATGATACTACTGCATGTATCAGTAGCATTTGTTGCATGGGCATTTAGCATTTCAAAGAAATGCTTCAAATATACATTTGAATAATAAATAGCAAGGCAATCATTAATCCACCTCTTCACTATCAAAGTACAAATATAGTAATTTTGAAAAATCTTATCAGTTTACAAATTAATCACTACCCAAACAATCACCTGATTAAATTCTTTGAATCCTTTTTGTAGTTCAGGACAGGGAAGTTAATTACTCTACATCTGAAGCAGTGGGTGTGCTGAAGAGAACATCAGACAGTGAAACTACTAGCTGCCCTAAGAAAGAATAAATTACCCATAGGTAAGAAGAATGAAGTGTGTTGGTCCTCCTGGAGGGGACCCTTGTGGGGCAGACTTAGACCCAGGCAACAAATTTTGTCCAAATTGTGGAACATCTGTGAAGTTGTCAACCATTGTTGAATGTGAAAGCAGAACTGTGTGCACTAACATCATTGATGGAAGAGAGTGTGGTGCCACTTTATTGCCAACACACAACTTCTGTCCAAGCTGTGGAGACAAAAAGAATCCTGGAAATTTCAGAGTTGAACAAGGTATTTAAGTTTGTAATCAATTAATTTTTTTTAAAAAAATAAATAATGACCTTTAGGTACATGTAGTAACTTAATTTGATTTCACAAACTTCTTTTATTGAAGATTTTTGTCTGATAATATTATAATTATATGAACACATTCAGAGACATACATTTCTTAGGCTTTTAACAGTTAAAAATCAATTACACAAGTGTGGTTTAAGTGGTAAAATAAAAGTACATCCAATGGATGATAAATTGAGTCATAGGAAGTTGATCATTATTCTGCCTCTGCACTATCAATGTATAAATATATTGATTTGGAGAAATGCTATGTGCATATGCAAATGTAAAAGATAACCTTTTCTGAGAAATCGTTTTTCAGAATAATCATATGATTGAATTCTTTAATGCTTTTTTTAGTTCAAGGCGCTGAAATAAATCAGCTGACAGTTGAAGGAGCAAATATGCCAAAAAGAACATCAGACAGTGAAACCCCAAGCCTTCCAAAGAAGATTAAAGTTGACGAAGAGTTGTGTGTTGATATGAGCCAAGTGAAGTATCCACCTTCCATGCAAACCAAAGATGAAAAAATGGCCGAGGAACAACACCACCAGTTACGGCCTGGCTGCTCAGCAAATGATTCATCACAGGTTTCAGGCATATCAAGTGGCTCATCACAGGCCCCAGTCACATCAAGTGATTCAAGACAGGCCCCAGGCACACCAAGTGGTTCATCACAGACCACAGACAAGTCAAGTGGTTCACCACAGACCACAGGCACACCTAGTGGTGCATCACAGGCCCCAGGTACATCAAGTGATTCATCACAGGCCACAGGCATACCAAGTGGTTCATCACAGGCCACAGGCACACCAAGTAGTTCATCACAGGAGCCAGGTACATCAAGTGGTTCATCACAGGAGCCAGGCACAACAAGTGGTTCATTACAGGCTACAGGCACACCAAGTGGTTCATCAAAGGAACCAGGTACATCAAGTAGTTCATCACAGGCCACAGTCATACCAAGTGGTTCATCACAGGCCACAGGCACACCAAGTAGTTCATCACAGGAGCCAGGTACATCAAGTGGTTCATCACAGGAGCCAGGCACAACAAGTGGTTCATCACAGGCCACAGGCACACCAAGTGGTTCATCACAGGAGCCAGGTACATCAAGTGGTTTATCACAGGCCAAAGGCACTGATGGTGCTACAGAACAGATTCCAAGTACTGGACATTGTCCAATTCAGACTTCAAGCACTGTGAGTGACCCAGCAAAGAAATCAGACACGAAGCAAAGTTGTGGTGAAGATGCACATGAAGATACCCCTGGTGATGAAAAAAGAGTAACTTCTAACATGAACACCTCCTCAAATGCTGCCACTAATGCTGGGATTTTCAGCATATCACACAGTGCAACAAGTAGTACTGCTGACAAAGAAGGCAAGGTGTTTGGTGAGGGAAACAAAGGTGATATTTCAGCTGGAAAAGATAAGAAAGCAAACAACACTACTGACCAGCCTCCAACAAGCTCTTTACCAGAGAAGAATGAAGATGTTGGGTCTCCAGTGGATGGACCTCAAAGCCAAAAGAAACATATTGGAAGTGATACCCGGGAGGTAATCAATATTTCATGCATATTTTATATCTTAGCTGAATAAATTGTTATAATTATTTATTATTATTATTATTATCAGTTAATTGGTACCAAAAATATAAATTTCTGAAACAAATTGACTTTGAGTGCATATTGCTTGCATTTATTATGAGCAGGAACCACTGTAATTTGAATGGAATCAAGTATGTTACTCTCAGGTTCCGAATTGCTATAGGGTTTTGAAATAAAGCGCAGGGTGAAAAAATGCTCAAAATCTAATAATAGTACAGTCTCAGATAAACATACATATCTGTATGTGTATTGCAACTGGGAGTTTGAGGGTAAGAGTATCATTTCAAACATTCAATTAATAAAGAGCAATCATTCTGTTTGTCTGTCTGACTGACCAACTGACTGACTGAACAGATGTCTGTTTATTTCACTGGTTTTGTGGATTGTTAGAGAATAACAACTGGGAGGAGGGGGGTAAAATTTTTTTTTAATTTCTTAAACATTTAATTTGGCACATATGTTGAGACTTCGTAAACATTTGCCATGCATTTCTAAATTAAGAAAATAAATTTAAATTTAAGATGAGCACAACAGCAAAAATTGATAATCGGACCGGGAGTGGTGAGATAAAAGTGATAAACAAGAAGAAACAGGAAGCAGAGGAGTATGTCCCAGGAAAGAAAGCCACCACTAAAAAGGGACAAAACAAGTAATTTATTAAAGGGTTTTGCTGATATATTCACACTGAATGAAGTTATATTCATTTTGCAGACACAAAACAAATTTTCTTTTTAATATTAAAAATGAAATAGTTATCCAGGTTTGATGTTTGTAATGTTTTCTTATTTTCGTTTGATTTTCTTTTACATATTATTTTGCCATGTATTATTTCTTATCATGCATCTTAAAGATTAGTAGCTACTTATTTATATTACTTTTGCAAATATTTTATTTAAATATGTACAGTGTATTATTTTTCTTTTTGTCTTTATTGTTTTATTAATGAACATATATATTATGTTCATGGACAAAAACCTTTTTTGTATAAGCCACAACTTGGAAGGGTTGTTATATTTAAAGGTCCACAAATGTCAGCGCACAAAGATCAGTGAACAGCAATGAGGAAGTGATCAATGTTCATTTCCATGTGATCATGCCCCCAGACGTCTCTTTTGATCATCAGAAGGACACATTTGTTATGAAGTTTGGTCTTCAGGAACTTCGAGGTTTCCAGTCAAAAACAGATGATTGGGTGCTACAGAGAGAAAGGTGGGTGTGTGTCACTACAGGGCTATCCCCAGCTGTTTGGATAGCCAGTTTCTTCAAAGGACAGCTCATATTTTCAATGACCGCTGTGTGATCTAGAATATTTCCTGAATGTGTTTTAATATAACTAGATTATTTGATGCTTTACCAGTTGTGTAAAGGTGCATGAAAAGCATAACATAAACTACATGAAGACTGAATATCTTGAAAATAAAGTACATGGTGACTTGCATCTGTGGGTGCTTCATGCAGCTTCAAAATAAATATCTTATTACTAACTTCATTTCAGGGATTTGCCAGATGACATGACAATGTACCATGTTGAGGTGCCAATTAAAATAGTAAACCTACGTGGTAATAAGTTTGTTGTTTACAAATATGTGATACATAGGAGAGAAAGTGAAAAGTTTCAGTGGGAAGATAATTTTGGTTATGGATTTGGAGATGCCAAAGACCGAGTACTGGCTGTGCCGGATAGATCATTAATAGCTAAAGGTAAGTAATGACATCTGGTTGGAATTAGAGAGGCCATCTATCAGCTCTATCATACTAAGAAAAATTAGCTGAAGTCTAAAGGAGAGGTCCCGGGTTCGATCCCTGGTTTGGCAGGTGGTTTTTACACTTTCCAAAAAATGCGCTACATCACCATGGTAGTCATACATATTTGTTTACCATTTTAATTGTGAGACTGTATTTAGTGCACTTGTACAAGTATAAGCAAATGCAGTAATTGTTTGCAGTTAACTTTACCCAGTGTTCATTCAGCCAGCTTTACAAATGACCAGTTTGATGTTGATCTTAAATGTTTGTGTCTATACGGAACTATTTGATTGATATGCTTATAGCCATTTATTTCTGCAAGGTGGACATGCCTGTTTGATCCTATAGTTTAATTCTGTATATATAACTGTTGGTGATTTTCCTCTCTTAGATATTAAATATCTGGTTTTGTTAAACCCATATACCAAGTAAGTATTTGTTCAATAAGATTTTATTATTGTAGTTTACTTCATTGAAAACCCCTATCTTGTTTTTATTTTTAGGCTCTTGGGACCAGTATGATGGCATGGTGTTTTTTGGCAAAGACACCTTTACCTCGGAGAAGACGACCTTTTTAAAATCAATACGATCTGGCTTGAAATATTTATTTGGCAGAAAAAATTTGTCAGATACTCCACATGGGCGATTCCTTATGACCTCAAAAACTGCATTTTCTCACATGATGCCTTCGTGGGAGGGATTTGTTGTGGATGGAAGTGGAAGCAAAGGTTTTGCACACGAAGTAGTGGACAATGCCTGTCAAGTCATACATTCCTTGAGGCACCGGTTTATCAAACCAGACGGACACTCTGTTGACTACTCCCTTTTGCGACAGGTGAGAGGTTTACTTTTTTTTATCCCGTCATCTAATTTTCATTTTCATAAAAATCCATTTTAATTCTTGTATATATTCATATACTCCTTTTTTCATGAATGAGAACTAAATGTTTTAACTGCCTTGAATGACAATCGACCTTCAGTTTCATGATAACATATCCCCCAGGGACCACGTGGGTACCAGTAGCAATGTGAAACTAAAATGAATTTATATTGTGTATGATATTGCTTTATAAGTAAGTTCTGAATAATCACTTTTGAAAGGTTCCCTTCAAATAACAGTTCACGTGTGTCAGCTGACCACAACATATTCTTACTACAGGCATTTTGGGAGTATGTTCAACCTCGTCTGGACAAGTGCAAGTATGAAAATACCATCAATGAAACTGTTGAGGAAGGAGAGCTGAGAGTGGCCTCAGTGGCAGCTATATTGTGTATCATGGACTACTTTAGCATGCCATTAGATGAAACAGGAGACAGAGCTGAAAGTGTGGCCAGTAGTCTCTTTGAGGGATTACTTCTACCAGGAAAAAATGACAAATGTGAAACTTTTCAGAAATTGGTGGAGGTTCATTTCCCACAAAAAGAACATCAGATGTAAGTGATGATAGTTTTTATATAACGCTATCTCGTCAATCTCAAAAGCAAAGAAAACGAAAACCTTTTCAGGGAGGTTAATTGTCCAAAGTAGCAGGCAGGGCTTGTTAGAGGAAATGTGTAAAGTTGTATTTGTCAGAAATTGCGATAATTATTGAAGAAAAAAAACATGTCAGCCTTGAAAGTGCATACATGCATCCAGAACTGTACCTTGTGGTATACCAGCATTTGGGTTGAAAATGCTAGGGCTTATTCTCCAGCTCATATCTCATAGCTGAAATGAATAATTCTGAAAAATCAAAATGTTATAAATACTACAGCACTCATGTGATCTCAGCTTACTATTGTTCACGCGAAAAACAGAGTCTAGTGATATCATTAGCTCTATTTGCTTAGTTTTTTTTTTTTTTTTTGCACATGTACTGAAATTTTACGCCACTCAATGAAAGGTTATGCTAGGACATGGGCTCAAGTCTTTTCAAAGCAATCTTGTATATGATTTCTGTCAGTATTCAATGAAATGTTTACATCAATGGCACTCAGAAAAAGTCCAAAAACAGAAATTATCACCATTGTCACCATTGTAGAGCCAAGTAATCATTAGTTGTCAAGTTAAAGATTTGATAAACATGCGCCTCGATGCTAGGCCCAAGTTGCATAGATCTATAAAATCTGACAACTGTAGAGCTGCTGTCGAAGATTGAGTGATAGTTTGACGGTTGCTGTCACAGGTAGCAAGCAGCGGAATGTTTCTCTTTCTTTTCGTATCTCAAAAATATAAAGAAGAAAATCAAAAGGACATGTATAGCAACAAGCATTTCAAGGAAAACGCATATTTTGAGAAAATCCAATATGTCAGAAAAGATTCTCCTTAGCGCTGATCACAATCGAGAGCGACTATCAAAACAGCTTCAATGGAACAATAGGCAATGCTTTGCTGATTGCTGTTTATGACAAAGGGAGTATGACACATTCCTGTTTTATTGTTTGGCGAGTCGAGCTGATGCTGCTAAGGTCCTCCCACCGAGTTTACCCATACCAACGGCCTTTGGCAACAAAGGCACCTAGGGCACAGCCCAAGTCACCGGTGCCAATGAGTGCAGCATCAAAATCCTCAGAAAATGTAAAAAATTGTTCAAAATGTAAAAAGGTTATGTTAGATACACATTAAACCAATTGTTAGACTTAAAAAAAACCCAAATGATGATTTTTAGCGATATTTGGGGTATATTTCCCTCTTAAACATTTTTTGTTTAATTTAGAGTGTAAATTAAATCCCACAGTATGTTTGATTCATTTTATCAAATTCTATTAGTGATTTGTGATAATTTTGAAAAGACTTTTCCTTTAATACTGTAGATCAATAAAGCTCTTAAAGCTAATTATGCACTTTTTCAGGAAAATTATAAGGGCTTTAAGTGGACTTTTCCAACAGTGTGCTGGAGGACAGAAAAATGACCATAAATGGCTCTTGGCTGTACCACTGTATCACTTTTTGTGTGGACATTCCAAGCCGTTTTCCAATATTAACATAGCTGAGAAACACAATGATCCGAGTGGAAAGTGGTGGGGAATTGAAGATATTAAAAGTGCTGTTGACCGCTTCAAGAAAAAAATGGAGTATGACATGTGTGTATAGTTTAACCTAAAATTGTGTTAGTGACATGAAGCATATGTTTGTTAGTTTATAAGATGTAATGATTTTTTTGATATGAAGATTTTGCATCAAACATTCGAGGAAGTATGAGATGATTATATATAGAATTATTTCTTTACATATCCATGCTTAGTGCAAAAAGATTCTGTTCTTGCCACATGCTCTTGTTTGAAAAAAAAAAAAGCATTTACAGTGAGTTCATTTATAGAATAATGTTTGCTATTTCTAGGCCTGTTCAGCAATTGATAGACAGATTGGCACCACTATTTGAGATGGACAAGCTGTTGCCAAGAACGTTAATGAGCACTATCAGCTTTAGGAATTTGAAAGAAGTGATATGTTCAAAAACCATTCCACCAGAAGTATCCACAGCAGCATTGTATTTTTACATACATGAACTGAAATACTTGAGCACATGCAAGACTGATTTCAGAGTAAGTTCAAATAAGTCCCAGTTTCATTTATTTCGTCCAGTATATAGAGTGTACATTGTACACTCTATATACTGGATGAAGGACACTAGCAAATAACATAGGTCTTAGTGAAGACCCTAAGGCTGTATTCCCAGAGCTTTTAGTTCGATCTATCCCCGCGGGGAGTCTCACTAGATTACTGTCAGATAATCCGGCAATGTCCGTCCCGCCTACTATAAGCTGTAAGGGGGTGATTAACTTTCGTGTCGGCTCGGCTGACAGCTATTTAGTGTGAACCCCCAGGGAGTTAGGTCGATCTAAAGTAGATCAATCTAATCTCTGGAAATGGGGTCTAACTGTTTTCATATAGATGCATGTAGACTTGGCTGGAATGTGCTATCCCACCACTGTTTACTTGAATATTATATAATATTGTGGTATATTACAGGCACTCATCTCTGCATTGGATGCAATTAAGGAGGTTATAGAAAGTAGGCTTACTGTACCCAGTCTAGGAAGGTATTAAATTTCATATTTTTCAAGGTATTAAATTGTTAATGTATTTCATCAAACCTTAAGTTTACTTATTGATTATTTACTTATTTTGTTAAACCACAAATTATAAGAAAAAAGTTTAATGATATGAAATGCTAAAGATAAAATTTCACTTATTTTTTGTTGCCAGTTTTGTAATTGACTTCTTTTTTTCAGTGACTGGCAGTATGGAAATATCAAGGAAATATCAATGGTAGCACTTGACCTTCTTGAACAATGTACAGATAGAATGGATAAAGACTTTTGGGGATTTGTTTGTTCAGCTGTTGATGTGTTTTCAACTGCTAGTAGAGTACAGCATACTGCTCTTGTCAAGTCCTATGGTGGTGCAGGGAAAGAAACAGAGTTTCAAGAAGAAAGTGATGTCCTAGCTGCCATGTTCAGTTCAACATTGGATCATGTGATGAACTGGTTGTGCTATTGTCTACCTTCAACAATGGCCATTCAACAGAAATTGACATATGCTGATGAATTTAGTGTAAATAATTGCCAAAATGTTATAGTAAAGGTTTACCTGTTAAGATAATGAAAGATAATGAGATGTATTTACCGGCTGTTACATGAGTACATCTGTAATTTATCCTTCGGTACAGGTTTTCCTACCAAGCATATGCATTATGAATATGTATATTTTACATAGTGAAGGCATACTGCATATGTGTGTTTAATAGTACTACACATCTTAAATATATTTCTAGATGCTTTTATTGTCTGCAACTGTAAAAACAATCTGTCTTTTTATCCTGCTTGATATTATCCTTAATTTAAAGCATTTTCATGAACAGTGCAATGAATTCTTATAAATGTCATCTCTTTTTAAAAATAATTTTGATCAAATTTTCCTTTAGGTTTGGACAAGATTATTGTCACTGGAATGGCCCAAAGACGAAACAGCAAAAGAATGGCAGAAGAGGCTGAGGCAAGCACTGAAAGGAAGAATTGATTCTGTAAGTGGCAAATGACAGTTATTAATCCATGAACTGTATATGTATTTAATTTTTTAACAGAAATTTATATCTAGATCAGTGACTGAATGCAAATGTTGATGATTAACTATATTCTTTGAGGTATGAGATTTATGATATTTTGATTTGAATATTTTAGATTTATACAGTAAAAACGAAGATAGAGTTGTTTTGCAGCACAAATCCCAAAGAATACCACCATATTGTTGAGGAATGTTTAAGTCAGGCAGCCTTTGAAGCCATTGATGCTGTAAGTGCACGTGTAATGCTTCCGCTTGTGTAAAGCAGGATATTGCTCTTACAAAATATATTTTGAATTTGTTTTGGTATGCTGTGAATATGGATATCTGAAAATGATAGAGCTGGCACTCATGGGGTAAGTTTGCAAACAGAGATGTGTTTTGGTGTACATATTGTTTCTGTCTAGCTAAAATATTGGTGGAGGGAATGGATCATTAAATTTGGAAAGTTATTTTCAAAGAAAGTCACATCTGGTGTTTCTTTTATAAACACAGGAGATTACAGGTTTTTTTATTCCAGGTGGAAAGTAGTGGTGAGATAAGATTAGATAATGTTGAACTTTAACTGATTCCTGTGTAATTCTTACAGTCCGTTTCCGGCCTACTTAACCCAGAACAAGGCTCTCTTGAACGACTAGGGTAAAACAGTTGGTTGCGCCCATTACTAACAATGTTAAAATAATTAACTTTGATCGTTCAAATCAAATGTACCAGTGAACAATTAACTGTGACATCCGTTTGGTCATCTACACTTGGGTATTTAGTGTCAGCCAAGGGCCACCAGGAGGATTTTCTTGAGCTGATGGTGATTTTATCAGTATTAATTCCAGCACTTCTCCAACAGGCTGCAATTTCAGTTTACACCAGATAAATGTTGTAATAGGCATATTTAATCCTCTGTATCAAGGATATCTGTAAACAAATACAGGTGACAACTGTTTGTTGATATTCACTTAGATTTTTAGCTGAGGGAAATGGCCATAAAAGGGATTTTCTAGCGTCAGTGGCGACTTTATCAGCGATGGTGGTGTACTTTTTTTAGAGCAAATTTTCCTACTGGGACACCATTATAAATACTCAGAATTCTTGTACAATAAAATCATTATCTAAACAAAGAAAACCATTATATTCATATTGTGATTTTATCAGTATTAATTCCAGCACTTCTCCAACAGGCTGCAACTACAGTTGCGGGGGGGGGGGGGGGGGGAATAATCACCAATAACTTACAAGTTTTTATCCTTAGTTTACATAATTGGAAATAATTTGAAAAACTTTTAAATGCCTCACTTGAATCTTTATATTAAGTTGTCAAAATCTAAAAATCATTTTTGACTCTGATGCTAAATGAAGTTCATGGTGTCTTATTCCAGAAAATGATATAAATTTATAAAATGTGATTTCATTTTCATTTCAAGAACATCAGACCCAACATCCAAATTAAATGTAAATTTTTTTCGTCATAAATCACATAGAATTCTTAAACAAAATGCAAAATGAAAGATACAATAAAACTTGTTAACTTTAAATTTATGTTTTATTTTTATCTATAAGGTATATAAGAAAGGAGTTATAAAATTCCTTGATGTAAGCTGTAAAGTTGCATTCTGAATTAACATTTGTAGTCTACATTTAAAATGAATGGGCATATATATCATATAAAGCCTGTAAGCAAATATAACAGTAATGTCCAAACGATAAAAACACTGAATCCATAACAAAAATTTGATTGCTGATATATATATGATTGCGGCTACATGGGTATTAAAAATTACTAGAAAAAATTGTTCAAATTCTCAAAATAGCATTTAATTTCAGAAATAAAACAGACTAGTAAATTGTCATTAGAGCCTTCTGTCAGCTCCCCTTTTCAAAGACGAATACAATAACCACACCTGTAAAGATCATATCTGTTTTCTGTTTGCTGCAATGACACCAATAGATAAGATCACTTTCTTCCAATTGAACCACCTGAAAGGGCTCTGTGATTGTTTGAAGATCCAGATAAGTTTTGTTCAATCGCTGTCAGTGGACAGATTCCAAAGATACATCCGATAATGAAGCCATTGCAACTCCTTACCTGATGTACAATCAAAACTGTAATTGCAGCTCATATAATTACAGTGTTAGAGAGGTGCCTTTCAATCGCTGATAAAATCAGCATCAATACTAGAAAAGGTCTTTGATGACCATTTCCTGACACTAAATGCCTATGTTGATACAGGGATTCCTGGGTCAAAATCTGGTTGGGCCATTTTGGCCCACTTGGTCAAAAAAAAGCGGGCCATTTTTAAAAAAATGTGTGCCGTGAATTATTTAGTGAAAATTCTTTATATTTCAATATTTTTATATGATTAAAAACAATGAAAAAAGGATTGATGCTACTACTCTGAAGTCCTAAATAATTGTAGTGTGTGGAAAAATCTTCCAAAATTAACAATTGTACTGTCTGAAATATTGTACTTAATTGAAAAATCTTTCAGAATTAATAATTGCACTATGCCGAATAATTGCACTGCATGGAAAAGGTTGACAATTCCCATTTTTATTGTAAAAGAAAAGCCATTGCTCTCAGGCAGGCCAGTAGCCAGCAGTTTCAAAAGGGGGGGTTCTTTTTCTGAAAAAGTGGACCTTTTTTTCATAAAAACATCATGTACCTAGATCAAATTTTACCCAGAGTGGACCTTTTCCCAGCAAAAGGGGCGGTTCTTTCGAATCCCC